TGGAAATTTCTCCGAAGTAGTCGCGCCATCGCCTCAGCACCTTTGTTCGGTCCATCAAAAGGCGGCCCTTCTCGTCATTGATGCCGAAAGAACTTCTCTACATCTTCGGTCTGGTGGTGACGAGCCTTGGCAAGTCGGTATGTGCCGCTCGCCATCCCGCGTTTCCAGCTTCTTGCTGATATCTTCGAAGTGAGCGGCTTTTGTAGCAGCCACAGCCTTCTTTGCCGTACTTCTCGCTTCCTGATACTTCCGCCAGTTGTCAGCTGACTTGTCTTTGAGGAACAAGTGATAGCGCTTCTTCTTCTCGTGAACCTTTAGCCTTACGTCATCTGTCCACAACCATGCCTGCTTTTCTATTCTACGCCTTCCAGGTTTCGTTGTGCCAAGTTCGGAGCGAGCGGCCTGAACTATCGCTTTGGCGGCATTCTTCCATGTTTCATCGACAGTTGTGACAGTTGGTAATCGAATGCGAGAGATCACAGCTGCCTCCTTCTCCTTCAAACGCCACCATTTGATTCTTTCAGGTCCACATCGCTCTATCTGTTTCGACCTGGGCGGTGTTATCTTCAGCGTACAGATAAGCTGGCTGTGTTGCGAGGCTACTGTCTCATACGGCACGGTCTTCGCGTCTGTGAATTCCTTGGTCGCGACCTGAGAAGTCTATTTGTATCCTGGTGTTCCCGCTGTAAAAGGTAATCAGGTGGGAGTCGCGTTTACGGAACTTTGTGTTCACGATGGCGAGATTATGGGCTTCTGCGTATTCCAGGATGCGTTCGCCATCGACGTTACGTGTTCCATAACCGAAGCCACCATGACAACTGTAACCGTCTTTCGTTGCGCCTACGTGCCCGTTAAGGTCACCAGCGACAATTACGACGTCTTCTGACGGCACCTCAGCTGTCTTCTCCTCAAGCAAAGTCCAGAACTCGTCCTTTGATTGTTCAGTGCATCCCGTCTGTGGAGCATATGCCGAAAAGAAGTGGTACAGTCGTTGCTCGACAGCTAGAACAATCTTCATCAAACGATCGTCGAAACGTTCCACGCTAGCTATCGAGTCACGGAAACGTTGAGAGACGATTATGGCCACTCCGTTAGTAGTCCTTGGCTTGCCACAAAGAACGGCTTTGAAGCCGCGACCGATGTCTCTCGACTTGCAACTGGACCATCTTGTTTCCTGCACTGCACAGAGATCGATTCTGCGCTCTAGTGCCTCTGCCAATTCACATGAACGTCCGGTCAAGGTTCCCACGTTCAACGTTGCAATACGGACTTTACACGCTACACTGCCTGAAATTTGGACTAGCCTGGTCGCCCCCCGATGCCGTCCTTGCACCGAGGACCCTCGCATACTTTCCACACTCGCCGGGCCATACGAGTGCGCGTCGGCTCCCGCGGACGCCGTAGCATTATCTCGATATACATATGGCATGACAAACATATTGATGTGACATGGGTGTTCGTAGGCCGGCCCGTCACGGAGGCCTGTCACCTGCGTTCGTGCGTCTGCGTTTGGCAACTCGCAAAGCGAGCAGTACCCAGTGGCACCGCGGAGAGGAGTAACAATAGCTAATGCAGGCTCCTGAACCGAATTGCTCTCGTGTGATGTGATCATGAAAACGGTTATTCATCATCCAACAAACAAGAAATGAATGTTCCATACTTCCTTCTTTAGGGCTTTTTACGCTGCTTACGCTACTTCGAAGTATTCATAATGAAGAAAGCCAACGAGGAAAACGAAAAAAAAAATCCGAAATATCTACTTTGTCGACATTTCACAGTCACACATGGTGCGGCGATTTCTGTGGTAGAGTTCCCTGGGGTGTGCCACTCGAGTTTCAGAACCAACTTTATTGACGCACTTGTAATCGGCCGTACCACTCAGGACTCAGCTCCTCCGACCCTTTTATGTGCGCCCCTGCGCAGCTCCTTCGAGCTGATGAAGCTGATAAGCCCAATGTCAACATAAGCTTCTACATAAGCAAAGCGCAAACCAAATCTGCCCTGAAAACAATGGTAAATAAATGAAACATAAAATACATGACATAGTACAACAATAAGAATAGATCAAGTCAACTTCTGTGTCGACACTCCGGCAGCGCGATGATCATCCTCTTCATGTCAGCTGCTCTAGCTCTTCCTGAAGACGATTCAGACGATCTCTCACATCCGCCCGTAGATCCGGTACAGGGCAAAGTGCCCTATGATGCCCTTCGTCGGTATCAGATCCTCAACACACGTGCCCCGTATTTTCTCGCAGTACCAGCAAATCCTGGGGTTGCATTGACGTGGTAAGCACGAGCCGAGGCAGTGCTTGCACAATCCTTTCCGTGAAACGATCCCGTATCTGTGGTCGCCATCGATAACATCCGGGGCACGAACCCGAAAAGTGCTTGCCAAACCTGTCGCAAAACGCCATTTTCCCGTATTTTCCGGCGG